GGGAAGTAAAAAAGTTTCTAGTGCAAATTTGCAAAAAATAATGCGTCGCATTAGATCTAAAGTGAGATTATTTTCCCGTAAGCCGTTAATTTTAAACAAGTAATTAAGAAATTCATAATTTTACCGCTGTTATAGTATACTGTAAATAAATTTGATTCGATTTGTTGAGACGTTCTTATTTTATTCAAAAACAAAATATGTGCAAAACTTTCTGGGACAAGCCTTATTTCCAAAAGGAATTAGAGCGCGAATTTACCTGGAAGGATGGTTTAACACCCAGTGGTTTCTCCAAACTACCATAAAACCCAAACCTTTCCTAGTTATTTGAAGCTCAGGAAAATATTTACTATATGATGAATGAAATTTCGACTTTCTAGATATAGTCTTCCCAGTTTAAAGTGGTTTTTATGATAGGTCCATTGTGTCGAAGTTGACGATGGGGACAATGAAGTCATTCCCTAGCCATAAATAAGAACGTGGTCGGTTTCTTTGCAAGGCCGTACTTTGTTATTTAATATTGTCCGTCGTGGGGTAATAACGAAGTGATAATGTTAATTATCTTGTCATAAAAACCGCTTTAAACTGGGACTACAATAAATGCCGATAGAATGATAATCTTTTTTTTTCAAATTACCACAAAATGGATAAAAATGCAAAATATGCACCGGTTACGTGAAATATGCAGCAGAAGGCAAATATATGCAAATATGCAATTTTTTTTATAGCTATTCATTTTTAATTAGCATGATTCGTTCACATATTAAATATCAAGACTTATATGCAAAAAATAACGGATATCCAAAATTTCATAAAATCCGCTCTCTAATTATTATTATTTATCTTCATTTCTTGAACGGACTCAGTATTTGAATTTGAATTTTTAAAAACTAAGCAGCTTGTCTTACTTTTATTAATGACTAAATGGTTATGCTCAATCAAAACAGTCTATTTACCAAATATATCTATTATTACTGATTTAACTTCTATAGTCTTACATCTCTCTAATAAATTTGTATCGTCTGCATATGAGACGGATATGCTATGTGTACTAGATATATATCTAAACAAGCCGTTTTTGTAGACCATGAACAAAGTTGTCCTTAATATTGACCCCTGAGGGACACCAAGATTAACTGGTTGTTTTGAAGAATGTTAGTGAAATTAGATGTATTTCTGAAAATAATACCTAACATTTTAGTAGCATTTTCACGTATATGAGGCACAAAGTTTAGTTAAGAATCTAAGATAATGCCAAGATCTTTAATCTGGTTAACCTTAATAATTTCAACATCATTTAATGTATATTGAAATTGCGTAGTACAACTCGATTTGGTAAATGTAATTACCCTGCATTTACCCTCATTAATAGTTTGACCATTGTTACTACACCACATACTGAAATTATTTAGGTCAGCTAGTAAGAGAACACAATCACTGCTATTTGAGATACAGTTACCCATCTTAAGATCATCCGCATAAACAAAAATACGACAATTAAAATGCGCTAATGCATCATTGAAAAAAATTATAAATAAAATAGGCCCTAGATTCGATCCTTGCGTTACGCCACTGGATGTGATGTAAGTGTGCGATCTAAAACTGTTATATTCAACAAAATGTTTACGATCACTTAATGAAGACTTAAATAAAGTTAACAAATTATTACATAAGCCAATAGACTTAAGTTTATTAATAAGAAGAGAGTGTTTTACCACATAAAAAACTTTGGACATGTCAGTATAGATAACATCAACTTGAGTTTTGGATTCAAGCGAGTCAGATACAGACTGGACAAAATAGGTTGTTTGAAGTGAGAACCAAATCCAGCAATCTATAGTTACCGTTTGTTATGAGATTGCTCTGCTTTAAGTTATTAATATTGACAAAATCACGTAAACTAATGCAAGACCCTGACAGATTATTCAAATAATCATCAAGAACCACTTGTCTATAGTACTGAGGAATATTAAAGTCACCCATAATCAGAGTATTAGAAGATAAGACACAGTTATTTTCTAGATATTCAAAAATACCATGGTAATGCTCAACAGGCAAAGCAGGTGGTATAAGTTAATGAGTTCAGCTTAATCTGTTCATTAAGTTTGAGTGTTATAAGATAAGATCCACAGTCGATGGGTTTTGGACATCTTTTTCCGCTAGGTTAATAACATGGTCCATAATTTGGCGTTGCTGGTTTCTCATTTTTTCCAGATTAGATGTAATTTTGGGGATCGTCGGTTGTTTTTTTGGTACCACCGAGATCGATGGATTTTCTTTATTTACTTTTTATTAAGTTGATACAACGAGTACTAATGAGTTTTTACGTTGATGTTCTGTATCTCTAGTGACAGTTGTTCTAATTTCTCTGTCCATTCTTTACTGAAATAACCAAAAGCTAAAATAAATGTAGACTGATATGTCGCCACCACACGAGCCTGAAACTATGCATTTTATCGATTGTGTACTTCCCATCCCGATATGCAACAACCTCATCATGAAGTACAGTTCCCTCTTCTATTCTGTTCTCTTAGTCCCCGATTGTCCAGTTTAAGTAGCGTTGCGTCATTTTTTGTTTTGACTTCTTCCAGGTCTTTGGTCCATTCGGGTTCCGGTCTTCTTCAGAATCATACAAAACCTCCGATAAGTTGTTGATTTTCACAACATTTTTTTCTTAGTGCACGACTGTTATGAACATACTGTTTATAGTTTACACAATTCATTTCTTTTTGCAGCCAGTCTAGTACATATACCGCAGATTTGTTTATCGCGTGCCGTACTCATCGTCGACGTACTCTATTAAGTATGAAATATATAATCCCGCTTGTTTGCAGAACTATAAAATTTGATTTCGCGAATAAACAAATAAAGTTTCGATTTACCGTGCTTCCGAATAATCTTTAAACGTTCGCCAGATTTGGAAGCATTTAGTTTTGCAATTTAAAAGTTAAATTATAAAATATTGTTACAAATAATTTTTGTTTTTAATAATTTGGATGTTTAGGGTAACAATTTAACACGGAATCATAAACCACAAATGCAGGAATATGTTAGTTTATTGGATGGAGTAATCGGTAACTTTTGATGTGTTTCTAATTGTGTTGTAACCATTTGATCCGACAAATGAAATAAAGCATCAGATCGGATTATATTGAAAAAAATGTATGTCATAGCTCTGAAAGGGATGTTGTCACAAATGGTCAGCAATTTAGAAAGATCGTACTTAGACAGTTTCAAAATTACTGAATTTATTCCATTGATATACTCCGCACTCTATAACGCGTTAAATTGACTCGGAAAATATAAAAAAATGATTATCAAGCGAAGTTTATTTAAAGTATAATACTTAAATAATCAATATGCAAACTTTGTGCTCTTTCAATATATTCTCAAAGTTTGCTCTTCCTGTGTTTAAATGCAGGAAAAACGAAATTACATGCAGCAGTAATCTGATCTACCTCATCCATTTTGATGAGCTGAAATTTGTGAAATTTATATACGAAATCACAATTTTATGCGTTTTCGTAGGAAGTAACATTGTATCACGGTACAGGATGCTACTAAAGCTTTAAAGTCAGACTAGTGCGTAGGTATGTGATTAATGATCTTAGTTTACACTAATGAAACGGTAGTTTGCAAATATAAATGAGCTTTAATAAAACTAACGCTCATTAAAAACGTCGACTCGTTAAATGGTAATAAAGACGTAAACGTCGGGATTCATTGGCGGTTTCCTTAATTTTGTTGTCAAAACATGTTATTCAATAAGTAATAGTGTCATTTCATGACTATGAAGTTTACTGAAAACATGAATGATGATAAAAACGTATTGGACTAGACAGTATTTTTGTCGTAACGCTTTTATCCTTAATGCAGCTTTTCTAGTATTTTTTAAAGAAATTTAGAGAAATCTAATCAACTTGTTGTAGGATGATATGTTACAATTATATATCATACAATATTATGAAAATGAAATTATCCAAAGTTATTTAGACAGAACTCTCCTCGTCTATGAAACAAAAACAATTAAACACTTTCTCATTCTTAGGTTAATTAAGAAACTTTTCCCGTGGTAGTTTATTAATAAAAAGAATAATGCTTGATTTATGTACGAAAATCGTTTAAATGTAAGAAACTACGATTGTGCTATATCAACGAATTCAGAAAAAAAACCTCTATTCAAAAATGCATTAATTATATGATAGTGCCTTTAGTATCGGTAATCTTTCTTTAGCAAGTTGAAAAAAAAAAACAAGTTAAAATGTCAATCATCTGACAAACGATATATTAATTAAAAAGCTAAAAATGTCCATCATTACGAAAAGTGGCAAATCGGCAATTTTTTAAATTTCGGAGGTTACTGCGAATCTTCTCACTTTTTTCTTTGTTCACAGATTTTGGTGCGATTTTTTTTTGTTCGACACCATTAATTAATTGTTTTAAGAAGTTCACGCCTAATTAAAATTTATTTGTATTGTATATTTATCTTATTTTGTGTGTGTGTGTTTTATCTATCAAGTAATAATGTCTGGAGATGCAGCATAGTTGACCTAAATTCAAACTATAAAATTATTAAAAAAAAATCTCAAAGTTAGAACTAATTAGTATCAGTGCTCGTAAAGCTTCTAGAGTCATTATAACATGGTAGGTAAATCTTGCAAAGGAATTCAGCTTGTTGTTCAGCTTTATGCTTTTATTTATTATTTTGTCCCTATTAGACCCGTCTTCACGTAAAACAAAATCGAATTACACTCGATGTCCCACAAAGTGATCCGAAATGCATCGTTTCGCATAAATTCAATATTGCCAAGAAAACAAAACGTAAACGACGCTCGTGAGTGCATCAATTCCAATCACGAGATCAGCGCAGCATCTTGAAGTATTAAATTTCTTCGTTACTTTATTGAAAGAAAATAGAGACCTGATCCTTCCATTATTATTCCGAGCAACGTAACTCTATTCCAAATTAAAATTCCCTCATTATTCCATGCTCAACGACTTACCGATAACAGTGAAGTTGACTTTGCTATTTCTGGTCGGTGAGTTTTTAAAATCGACTCTACATCGATAGATTCCCTCGTCCAAGAGTTGAATCGAAGCTATTTCTAACGTCGCTGGTGACGTGGTGGGACGAAAATACGCCCTTTCTGAGAACACATTTGGTGAAGACCAATATTTTGCTTGACTGAATTGACGACCCCTCACGTCGAAACTGCAACAAGTAAAAAAGTACGATAGATAGTGTACAAGATATTCCTATAAAATAACATTTCACAAGCTGAGCTGAAATTTGTGAGATTTTAAAATCCCGTGCAAGCTTTTTATGCAATGTTACACTGAAATACATTTTGGGACAAAAGTGGCGACTGAAGCTTTTACTTCCTTTGAAATTTATTTACAGGTATTCCATGACACCGGGGGTCGACGTCAAATTTTCTGCACTTAATTAATTTACTAAAACTTTTTTCATCGTCTAAAACAGTCTGGTTTTCAAACGAATATTAAATTAACATTTCATGCGATCGGTTTGAACTTGAATCGGCTAAATATAGGTATATTTATTTTAATTTCTAGCAATCAATATGGGATCTTTAAAGCACGTTAAAAAATCGCCATCTTATTGGCAGAAGACTAGGGCAAATTGTATGGATAGCAGATATCAAAATATGAGTTTTCAAAAATTAAAAATGTATAGGCGAACCTAGTGATAACGCATTTGCAAGTTCTAGATCCTATATTAGACATTTTTAAATTCAAGAAGGGTCAACATCGTATAATTCTAAACGTAGTAAATTTCTGTTTATACAAAAACTTGTATAATCATCAAATTAGGATGAAAAAAAAACAACACGTCTGTTGCTGGATTTATAATCAAATTCCGGATATTTTTTTGCAGTATCTGCTGTTGCTTAGCTCAGCAATAGTGAATGAATGAGAAGCTGATTAGTGTGTCTATGTGGCGATATTTTTAGTTAGATTTGCTGAGTAGGTACAATTAGAGAAGCCCTAACAATAGCAAAAGAAGGCACACACAATTGGAGTTGATTAAACCAGATACGATAAAATATATGAGGTACTATGGCATGAATCTATTACCAAACACACTGAAACTGGCATGAACAAAAATGAGCTAAAATTACTGATTATTAACGACATCTTTCCCAACGGGCTATGCTCATTTACAGGGAAAGGGAAACCATAGAAAAAGTGATACATTGCAAAATGTTGAGGGTTCAGCTAGAATAAATAAAATATAAAAGAAACCTAATAACCGTCTAAAATATAATATAATAAAGAAATTTGCGAAGCTTCAAGAATATTCCGCATTCAGTACAGTAAAATAGATTTATATAATATTTTAGATGCAATACTCTAGGAGAATATTATTGATGATAACTGAGTTGTTCTCATTCAGGTCGCAAGATTTAAAAATCCGGTTACGAAATTTGTAACAAGTGTGAAGTACCTACTTTCGGGAAGCATACTAAGCTCATTACTGTTGACTATGGTAATAAAAACACTATAATATTCACTACACTGACTACACTATACGGTCTATAATGGAGCACAAACCCAATATGCATGCTACTTATTATAATCTCATTAATGTCGATAAAAAAACATATTATAATAAGCTAATTAATAATAGTATGGATTCATTAAAAATGGTTTGGAAAGTTATTGGGCAAATCGCAAAAACAACTAAAACTAAATATAAACCTATCGAAATTTTTAGCAATAATGAGCTTTTGAAGAACCCATCTCAGATAGCAAATAGTTTTAATGATTTTTTTTATTGATTCAGTTACAGCTTCCGTAAATAATATTCATAAACCTAAAAATTTTAACCCTTCAATTAGAAATATAGGGTAAATGTGTACAAGAGTGCGAATATGTATAAGAGTACGCACTGATGATTTCTGCTTATTAGTGCCATCTGGGTAAGATGAAGTTATACCATTCAGAATTTAATGCTAAACCTGAGATAAAGGTGCAAAAGTGACCTGAATATAGTTTATAGTTTGGTCGTACTGACGATTTTATGTTCACACGTTGTGTGGATGTAATTTTTACCGCTCATAGTTTTAGTTTTTTGTAAGGTACGTACCAGTTCTTTTATTTTACAGTAATAATTTTCATTAGTTGTAACTTTTAAGGTCTTGTTATACACTAACAGTTTTATACTTTCTATCCATCAAAAGCTTTTAACTTTGAAGACATTAGGTTATGTAAAAATGTACAAGAGTGCGCAGCGAGGTATTGTATAAGAGTGCGCATTGTTTGCAATACGTAGTCTAATAGTCTTGGAGATACATATCATACGATAATGAATTATTTAACTCTACTACTTTGTACTGCTTCTCAAGTTGTGTGGTGGTGGTTATGGTGATTTTTTTTTTATTTTTACTTCCTGAGCGTGTTGTAATCGAGTCCGTCGACCGACTCTCTATTTTTACGTTTTCTCGTCTTTTCAAGACCCCTAGAGTACGAAGAAATAGGTCTCCCGTTTTATGTGTAGTCTGTGTTCACTTATTCCCATTTATTTTCACCTTAGAAACAAATATTTTTTCATAAAATGTAATGCGTACTCATAAGCGTTCAAATGCGCACTCTTGTGCAATGAACTGTCTAAGAGTGCGCATTTACACATCTTAACAAAAATTGAAATTACTCTTAAAATATAGTGGTGTTGGGACGTACAATTAAATATATCTGATCTCTAAACATGTATATAACGAACCTATATCATAAAATTTGTCTATCCAAAAAAATTAAAAAGTTGTTGACAGTTTTCCACTAAGTGCGTACTCTTGTACACATTTACCCTACAGCCTGACTGCGAAATATGTGAAAAAAAAAATGGGGTAAAGCTCACGATATTTCGCAGTCACCCTGTATGCTCCAGTATGGCGTTCATTCTAATAACTGAGGAGGAGTTGCTTATCATTATTAACGAAAAGCTAAAAAATAAAACTAGCTGTGGTCCTGATGATGTACTGTTATACGTGTGTATTGAAATACATTCTAGAGTCGACTGACTTTTTATTAAAATAAAGATAAACTCTTTTACAAAAACTACAAGAATAAAAACTTATACATTTATGACATCTCCCCTTTTAACTTAAACAATTTTCTCTAAACTATAGTACTACTATTTTGTTATTTAAATCTACCATATGTTAAACGATTGGGCTGGAGATTTAATTTTATTATCAAGAGGTGTATTTCTATACATTAACAATGTTAGATAAAAATCTTTGTTGTCACTTTTAGCCTTAATTAACATTTTTTTCAAAGTCTGTACATTTCTTTCTACTAACCCATTAGATTGAGACCAAAGAGGACTTGAAGTAATATGTTGGAACTCCCACGCATTTGAGAATTTCTTGAATATTATACTACTAAACTGAGGTCCATTATCAGTTATGACGACTTTAGGAACCCCATGTCGCGAAAATATTTTTTTTAATTCAATAATTATTTGTTCTGATGACTGGGAATCGATCAATTTCGCTATTTCAATGTATTTTGAAAAATAATCCACCACTAATAAATAAACGTCAGTTTCAAAATAAAATAGATCACATGCCACCTTTTCCCACGGCCGATTCGGAATTTTATGGGGTAACATGGGTAACATTGTATTTATTTTTTCCAAATTGTTGACAAATTTTACAGTTTTTTATTAAATTTTCTAATTCGTACTGCATATTAGGCCAAAAAAAACATTCTCGAGCTCTGTTTTTACATTTACTGATACCCAAATGTCCATAATGAATTCTTCCCAAAATCTCGTCTCGCAACCTAGTAGGAACAATTAACTTTGAATTTTTGTACAACAGTCCCTCAGCCTCTGTAATGTCACATTTATAAGGATAATATTGCCTTACTAAAGGATTAACTTTTTTAAACAAGGAAGGCCACCCATTTCGTACATAATAAAACAATAACTTCATTTCTGGATCGTGGGCCATCATTTTTTTTATTTCATAAATTTTTAAATCAGTAGCGTTTAATCCCTTTCGTAAAATACAAATTTGTGCTTCTATTTCCTGCTCTAACATTTCATCACCCTGAGTACCTGATAAATGTGCACGCGATAACGTATCTGCGATAATAAGCTCTTTTCCTGGTTTATAAACTAATTTAATATCGTATCGTTGAAGACGCAAAAACATTCGCTGCAATCTAGGAGGACAACTATATAATGGTTTATTAAAGATATGTACCAATGGTTTGTGGTCGGTTTCCATGGTAATCCGTTTACCGTATATGTACTGGTGAAATTTTTCACAAGCGTAAACTAACGCGAACAATTCTTTCTCTATTTGCGCGTATTTTTTCTCCGTATCGGTTAAAGATTTTGAGGCGTACATACATGGACTATCGTTTTGCAATAAACAGGCTCCTACGCCATCTATACTTGCATCTGCTGTGACAACTATAGGCTTTTTTGAATCAAAAAATTGTAAAACCGGATATTTGATAATTTGATTTTTTAGCTCTTTAAATGCGTTTTCATGGCATTCCGTCCAATGCCACGACACTGCCTTTTTTAATAACTGCCTTAACGGAGCTGTAATCTTCGATAAGTTTTTTATAAATTTCCCGACATATGTGACAAACCCTAAATATCTCTGTAAGTCTTTTTTATTTTGTGGATCCGGCATTTCGGTGATAGCCTTAATTTTTGAATCATCTGGATAGAAACCTTCGCCGCATATCTTATGACCCATATAAACAACTTCTGAACATGAAAATTTACACTTATTCAAATTAAATTTTATGTTATTTTTTCTAGCAATGTCTAAAACTTGTTTCAATATTCTGTCATGTTCTGTCTGATTATTTGCATAAATTAATATATCATCGATATAAATTTCTACTCCTGGAATCTCAAAAATTTCCTTAAATTTTTTATGAAATACTTCTGGAGCACAAGTAAGACCAAATGGTAGACGTAAAAATTTATACCGTCCAAACGGTGTGGAAAAAGTGCATAGATCCGAACTTTCTTTATCAAGTGGTATTTGCCAAAACCCTGACATAGCATCTAAAGTCGAAAATACTTTTGCACCTGCTAGTTTACTAGTTAGTTCCTCAAAAGTGGGTAACTGATAATGTTCTCGACAAATATTTTGATTTAAATTTCTTGTATCTAAGCATATTCTCAAAGTTCTGTCTGGCTTATGTACAAGCACTATTGGATTA